GTGCGTGCGTGCGTGCGTTGCGTGCGTTGCGTGCGTGCGTGCCTGCGTGCGCGCGTGCGTGCGTGCGCGTGCGTGCGCGCGGGCGGGCGGGCGGGCGTGCGGGCATGCGGGCGGGCGTGCGGGCGTGCGGGCGTGCGGGCGTGCGTGCCTCTCGTCGTCGTGGTGGATGCCCTCGATGGACTCGAGGTCGTAGTGCGGGTACGTGGGTATAAGGAGCGCCGGCGCTTTACGGCCAGCGCTCCGCTACCATGAAAAGTAAAATGCGGACCTTTTCGAGAAAACTCGGGCCTAGATGGCTTCGGTTCGTGCGTGTTATCCTCTGTGAATGGATGTTCTTCATCTACGTATCATCAAATTCAATCATTTTTTGCTAACGAAGACCCACCGTTGTGAGAACAAAAGCGCATTGGGATGCCTCATCGATTCGCAGCCGCTCAAGGAAAAAGATGTACTGTATATAAAAAGGAAGAGAATGAAGAAAAGCCAACAGGTCACTTGTGCAGTGGGTCGGAATCGTTGGTCTGCTGAGACCTCACCTGTCCCAAGCTGCTGTAGAGTCGAAGGAGCTCACAACAAATCACCACAGCGCCCTGGGCGAGGATCAAGGATTATCCCCTGCTTCCCTCTTCTTTCAAAAGGGTGGATGGAGCGTTTTGCAAACCAGGGACCCTTGACTCACTGTCAGTCATCAAGGGTTGCTGCTTCTTCTTCTCTTCTTGCGTGCCATAGGTATGGGGGTGAGAAGGATGTGTGAAACAATGTCAACTAAGCAAATGCCATACCCGTAGGCGCCCCTCATGCCCGTCAGTACAGGAACTGGATGGCATAGGAAAAGTGCAAGTTTGAAAGTCGATTTAGTTTCGAAGTCCAGGTGTCAACCTGGTAAAGGTGATGTTCAAAATCGTTCTCTGTTGGCTGCGTCGAGGATTTGAACCAGCTGCTCTCGAGAGTTATTAAATTCAGCATCGGTTTGGCGGATTTGGTTCCAAATCAAAGCCAAGGTATTGTAGGTCCACTGTTTTCGTGGCCTGCCAACCCGTCTGAATAATACTTCAAGCGGAGAGGCCGAGTCATTTTTGAAACTTACCATCCTCATAGGATGTTCATTTTTGCCGAATTTTTTACCAGCTAAAGCAATTTGACGAGTCCTCAAAGTGTTTTGAATGGGCACTATGTTGCTTCCAAGTTCGTTGCTGGAGATGTGAAGATTTGCTCTTCTCAAGACTTCTGCATTGGTATTGGCACGGTTTATATACGTGGTAGCCATTCCCAAATTTTTTCTTAAACCTTTCAATTGAAACGCTTCCAGGCGAGAAAGAAGACTAGTTGGGATTTCCAACGTCTCTAAAGCATAAAGAAGTTTTGATTTAATGACGGCATTATATGTCAGGATTTTGTTTCTCAAGCTGCACTGCGCCTCTTTCCAGAAAATATCCAGACTTTTCCAAGTCGCCATGGCAGAAGCAATTCTGCTGGAAATTTCGGACGCGATGTTCACCTGTTTTGTGAGGACTCCGCCGAGGTAGGTGACTTCGTCGGCGTGTCTCATTTGTGAGCCATCTCGCAAGTGGATAATGTTGCGCCCGTTCATTGCTAAAACGTTGCATTTGTCGTGGTTGAGCGTCAACCCATAATATGCTGATTCCTCCTCTATGGCGTGTAGGAGTTTGTTCATTCCTGTCGTATTTTTGGAAACCAAAAAGTGTATCATCAGCGTAAAGCACCTCATTAATGCGCACATGGTCGAGTCGGCTGTCAATCAAATCTCAAGAATGTTTGATTCCAATGTCGTGAAAAGGAACAGTCATGACGAGTACAAACAAGAAGGGGGAAAGGGGGCATCCCTGTCGTATGCCCGAACTTTGTGTCCTCACACGCGACTGGAGATGTTCGTGTTTCACCTCAAAGGACAAGTTGCTATAGAAACTTGCAATATAAAATGTTTCTGAATTTGCTGGGTAGGTTTAACCGTTCCAAGGCTTGCATCATGCGTGGGTGGGACACTCGGTCGAAGGCTTTAGCCCAATCCAACATAACCAGAACCACGTTCTCCCACTTCTTTCGCCAATGTCTTGAAGTCGTCTAGCAATAAAGAGGGCATCAGTTGTAGAACGATGCTTTCTGAAACCGAATTGGGTCTTGCAAATAAAAGGGTCAATGACTTCGGCTAGCCTGCAACGGACGATTTCTGCGAAAAGTTTGTAGACAGCATTTAAGAGTGAAATGGGTCGGTAATTAGCAATGTTGTCTGTGGCGCCTTTTAAAATATAGAAACTACCTGTGCATTGAGGAAAACCGAAGGGATCCTTTCAAGAGACCACCAGTCATTCAGCACTGACAACAGGGCTTCTTTGTTTTCATCGTTAAGGTACTTAAAAAGTTCAACAGGAATTTCATCCGGTCCGGGGGCCTTGTGGTTTTTTGCTTTCCGCAAAGCAGCAACAAGTTCTCGCATACTTATGGGTCCAAGGTCAAAAGGTAGGTTGTCACTTATAACTGGGTTCTTTGCAACAAACGGCGGCAAAACGTCAGTTTTCCACTGTACAGCTTCAAGATAATCGGCAATGGCTTCTGCGCGTCTACGTGGTCCAACCCGGTTTCCGTCTTTATCTTTCAGCTTTGTGAAGCTGGGTCTGGGTACGGTCTTCTTCTTTGTGAAGAAGCGTTGCTGCTTAACCCGAGAATTCCGAGAGGAGCGGATAGCATCGCTAGCTGCACTTCAAACGATCTCAACCATTAGCATGCACATCAAACCGCCCAGTGGGTGAAGGATCATTTCGGTTCAAAGGAGCTCAGCTCAGCGAGTCCCATCGCGGCGCTTGCGCATCTCGTGGCGGTCTTTGTCTCGGTGGAGCTTGGTGAAAAGCGTTAGCGCGGCCTTCTGACCATGCGCTTGGCTGGACCGACGGCCGGAGGACTCCGTGTGACCAAAAAAAAAGGATGCTAGCTTGTGTGGCTCCCAAAATAGAGAAACGCTTAAAATACTTTGACTCTATATCCCACCAAACCACCAGAGCACGACGCCGAAACGCGGTGGCCTCAACGACTCTTTCACGATATCTTCGGGAGTCGGAGCCGTCCAGCTGAACGGCCAGCTGCCTCACAGCGGCACAACCGTCCAGGGGGAGAACAGCTTAGCTCCACATGAAGTTTCTGAGCCTCGTCCTTGCAGCTAGCCACAGCCTTGGCGTCGATGCTTAGAGCAAAACAAATGGAAATCTGAAGTTATTTCAAGACCTTAATGAAGCTTTTAAACGATCTAGGTGTCCGGTCCGCGATCACTTCAACGACATCAAGTGCAGTAAAGCTCTGAAGCTCTTGAAAGCTGATGAGTTGCCGACATGGGAGTTAGCATCCAACGAACTTTTGCGTTCCGATCGAGATACCTCCACGAGATCATGAGCCCCACGGTATCATCTCTGATCTGCAAAGCACCAAAACAAAGCCGAGCGGAGCCTATTGCTCCACTTTTGCAGCGCATCTAAAGCAGACTCCAAGCCTCTCAACACAGTGAGTGGAACACAACAAAAATTGGTGAATGACGCATAAGGCAGGCCCAAAGCTATATGGAACCACCTTGTTGTCTTGTTGACTGATGTCACTGATCACCCACAATTACACGCCACTGACACCCAAATGACAGCCTTCTGGAGTATCCCCTGCACTCCAGGCTGCCAAAACAGCAGCTGCTATGTCGTCATCACAGGAATCCTGTCCATTCAACTGCAACACAAGCACCCACGCCACTCAGTTTCAGGTCTGTTTTGCTCAAATGTGAGATTTTCTCAACAACAGCTCTGCAGAATCCAATAAAAAGTGGCCAAACAAACTTGATCCTTCATTTTATCCGAGTCATCAGTCTTGTATTCAATTCGATTCAAGGCAAAACGAATCAGAATTGACGTCAAACCTGACCCGCCTTCTTATCCTCTTCTGTCGGGTGTGTGCCCGTCGTCGTCCGGAGCCTCATGGATCAAAGCGCCAGGAAACAGCCCTCCGTTCGGTCGGGGATTCGTCGCATCAGGCTGCCAGAAGAACAAATATGACCCTCTGCTCGTGTTTTCAATTTAAGGGGCCTTAATTGGACTGCTGGTTCCAGGAAAAAACCCTCTTCCCCAACACGGTCAGCAGTCGGTTGTGGGTCACGTCAAGCAAAACCAATACTTTTCACCACTCTCTCGTCCACTCTTGTCCAACATACTAACATTGCAACTCCGAATGCGACACGGACATCCTGAATCCTGCGGTAACTTTAAGCCGCCCACAGTTTGTGCAACTCGAACCCGTCGTTCAGGTCACAAAGCTCGACGAAGGAGCGGCAAAAACTGCCGTTGCCTGAAAATTCAACCGTTCAAATCTTCCAATGAGCAAACTACTTTACCCACCTGCCATGGCTCACATGAGCGCACTGGCAGCCATGAAACGATTCAGCTGCATTTAACTTGTGAGCACTTTTGGAGTCAAAAATACGTGGAGCGTTCACGTCGGACAGACCATGGTCAATAGCACTGGAAAAAGCTGGGTCAACAGAAACGCATCGAGTCTCAATGGCAACACTGATTGCCAAAATGAATACGTTGATGCTACACCTGTGCGAATCTGAAAAAAAGGTGACATGGCTGGTCCAGCCAAATTCACGCGCTGATAAGTTAATAAGACTTGAGCACAAAGAATAACAACGCAAACAATATTAACATATCTATATATACATACAAATTTATGTATACATGTGTCCAACCTTGCAAACATCAGCAACAAGCAGCAATAATACATCTTTTTTGGAATTTCAAAACCTTGCTTCGGGGTGATAAGTGTCTATGATCTACGCTGCAAACTTTACGCACTCCTTCTCGGTGGGGTGAACGCTTCTTGAGGATCTTCATCTCGAGTTTACCTCGTCTAGCATGTACTGAAATTTGGCTCTCTTAGCATCAATGGCGTCTGCTTGACCAAATAGCCCTCTGCTTAGCAGTAGATTGTGCTGCCTGCTCAATCTGTCAATTTTGCCTCTTAGTCTAACAGGTAATACGTCTCTCTGTTCCTGTTCATGTTCCATGCTGTTCGTATACTCTGGGTTTCCTCCGAATGATGTTGAAGCTGGTCCATTTGAAAGAATCGCCCCCGACTCGCTGCTTGTAGTGGCGTCCTCCTGCAGATCTTGAATGTTCTAAACCCCTTCTCGCTAAGTAGTTCGCTGGATTCGATTCAGCGATCATGTCATAGGCTTGTCTATGCATTCCTCCTGGCTCTTCATCTTCTGTGAAGCCTCCATTGAAATTTTATCCACGAAAGCATGTCTACTGGGTGTTCATCTTCCTCTTTCCTGTCGAAGATGCACTCAATTTCCACGTTCTTCACTTCAAATTCAATCACTTTCCCTGCGATTGTCCTTTCTTTCACGTATCTCCAAAACATCCACATTGTTCTAGAGATGTTACAATGTTCAGGAAAAGAGGTCATGCTCCCAAGCAAGACTAGATGCCCAACACACTTTTCTCTCACTGCTATTGTTGTTCCAGAGTTTGTTGGGACAATTATCACCAACAACTCGTGACATCGGGCTGAGCGTTTCTGAACATCAGAAGTGACGGTCTAATGTTGTTCAAAGGTGAGAACAAAAAAACATTAAAAACTTGAGGCCAAGGGGGGGGCGAAAGCTAGCGCTCCAGAATGGGAAAGTCGAGGGCAGCGAGGTAGGAAAAAACACGGCGCTCTTTTTGGAGGCAGGGGTGAAGAGTCCTTTATATGTGGCTCTTTGCCCGGATCCTCCTGCGAGAGAAGAGAGAGAAGAGAGACGGAAAGACGAGAGACAGAGAGGAGAGAGAGAGGAGAGAGAGATGAGAGAGATGAGAAAGGGATGAGAAAGAGATGAGAGAGATGAGAGAGATGAGAGAGACAGTGAGACAGTGAGAGAGTGAGAGTGAGAGTGAGCGAGTGCGGCCGCAAGATACGCAACGCTAACCGCATGCCAAAGAGCGACGACAGGACGGAGTCGAACTTGCGAAGAGGGAGGAGGGAGGAAGGGAGGGAAGATGGGAGGAAGACTAGGAGGAGGAGAGGGGAGGTGGGGAGAGGGGAGGTGGGGAGACCTGAAAAATCAGGGGTTAGGATTTGCACCCTGTCGAAAGAAACCTTGCTATCGCAAGAGTAACTCCAGCTAGCTTCGCTAGCTTTCGTGATATGTGGCTCTTTGCCCGGATCCTCCTGCGAGAGAAGAGAGAGAAGAGAGACGGAAAGACGAGAGACAGAGAGGAGAGAGAGAGGAGAGAGAGATGAGAGAGATGAGAAAGAGATGAGAGAGATGAGAGAGATGAGAGAGATGAGAGAGATGAGAGAGATGAGAGAGATGAGAGAGAGAGAGAGACAGTGAGACAGTGAGACAGTGAGACAGTGAGACAGTGAGAGTGAG